AAAATCGCACTGCTTACACCCTATTAATTTGAGCACAAATTAACGACAATCCAGCCTCTGGTTTTCCAAAAAATAGTCAGCCTGAACTTGAATTTATTAGTTCTCACAAAAAATAGTACACTGCTATGGACACAGGTTAAAGAGCTTACTTGCAGAAACAGTAAATGTTGTCTGGCAAGCAGGTGATGCTTCTTTTGAAAAAAGGTTTTTTCAAAAATGACCTGCCTCATTTCAGTCCACCTAGAAATGTTTGTTGATGAGTTTAACTCTAGGCATGTTAACCATCGCATCAAACTACATTAAGATTTTACTGCAAGTTTAAACAAAATTTGATTCTCTTTTTTTTCAATAGTATCTCAAGATACTACACCTGGTATGGGGTACACTGTGTAGGTCCAGGGGCGTCACGAGGCAAGCCTTGTTGGGAGGGGGGTGTGGACTTCAAATTTACTTGATTAAAAAATTTTTGCCTGAATTCTTCAGCTGCTGTGCACAAACCTTTGCATATAGTTACTACCCGAGGGGGCACCATGGTTGCCGCGGAAGGAGCAGGAAATTTTCAAAATTTTGATGCTTCTAGTTCCCTGGAAAATGCACTCTTACAAGCACATTTCACTTAAGCAATCCTCCTAATCCTATTGAAAATATATTTTTTGCAAACAAATTGAACAGCAGATGAAATACTATGTTGTCTTGAGGCCGTGGTCTTGAGAAATACTATGTTGTCAGTTACTTCTGAAGCTAGGTAACAAGCAGCGCTGGTTGTCAATTTAGATCCCTCTTTCCTTCTTAGCATGCCTTTTGAATGTTAAAAAAAATCTGGAGCTCATAGTGAATTGCAGTTGACGCTTCTACTGAAAAACTTTAGGGGAAATGGACACAAGACACAATTTTACCTAAAGAGGGCCTGGATTTTTCGATTTAGTGCCAACAAGAAATCTTCAAAGCTTCAAATCATTAGTTTGTTTACCTTCATTCATATCAAGGAATATCATATTTAACCAACGGAGCAACTACCTTTGCTTGATCCTCTATTGATTTTGTGACATGAAGGTCTCTGAAATACCTAAAGTGCTTCTTCCACCGAGCGGGTTTTACCTGAAATTTCCTATTGAGATACTATTGGGGGGAGGGGGGTGTGACACCCCTACAACCCCCGGTCGCGACGCCCCTGGGTATGCCCCACACCAAGCTCCATTGATATACTCCAAAGAAAGTAATATCTTTGTTAGAAGGCTCCGAATATCCGATACAATTATCTAAAAACATAAATTCGTATTCTGAACTTATGAACAACTTTACATTCTACTAAACCACACACAAAGGAAAAGATAACTTTGGGCCCTCTGACTTAAAGCTGGCCCCCTACTAGCCCCTTCTCCAAACTCTTTGGGCTATATTCGCCATTTTTAGCTAGAATCAATTTTTAAGGATGGAAGAAAAGGAGTCTTTTACGGGAAATTATTAAAAAATTTTGAATTTGCTATTCTTAGGTGGGATCGTCTGGATGCTATCCTAAAAAAAAATGGAACTACCTAATTTGTGAAGTTAGAAGTTTGAAGAAAAATACGACACTGGAAAATGTTAGGAGACTAGAAACAAAATTAGCCGTTGTAGATATTTAAAAACTTAATAAACTTACTTTACACAGGGATCCTTAATGCCCAGATTGCATTCGCATCCAATATCATTTGCACGAACTTGATTACTCCCGCCATATTGTGGTGTTCACAAGAAAAGTCAAATCGAGGCCAAATTAAATTGTTTCTAACGTTGGAAGGGTTGGCGGGGGAGAGGGGGGGGATGCAGGCATTGGGCTGCAGGCAAATTTAAAGTTCTCTAGCTCTATGACTATAATAGATGTTGAATTGAAAACTCTCAACTGCCACTTGACCTTGAATCAACTATAAACACACGCAAAGTCTTGCATAAAGTTTTGAAATTATTTGCCCTTTTCAGGCTCGGATTCAGATTCTCCCACTTTGCAGCTGTTTCAAAATTTCCCTTTCATGGATGATGATGGTAATAATATTATTGCTGGATCTGCTGAAGAACTTCCTGTAAACTTACAGCCCTGGCAAAAGCTAAGACACTCGCAGAAAATTAAGCTAGTTCCAAATTATACAGCCCCCGTCCCCCCGACCCGCATCAATGTTGTTATTAGTCAGAGTAGTTTAGCCCGCGTTCATCCCCAGTTATTGTCCGTATTGACGTCGGAGGGAAGGGGGTGTGGCATGTTATATAAAGATAAGACATTTGACTTCACTTTTCGATAACAAGTCTCAGCTATTTTTTGTCAAGATTGTAGCTACGGCCCAGGGTACATGAACTCAAGCTGAGGATGACAAGTTGAGATGGTGGGAGAGTGATGCAATGCAAGCACTCTTGATAGATGGAAAAGCGCAGGAAAGAAGGTATGGGTTGTACGATCAAATTCTACACCAGCTGAGAAAGCTTTTCAGGGGCATGAAAAGCGCATTTTAAATGAACAGCAAGCTGTTTTGGAGGAAGCAGTAGAGGCATCTGTAATGTTAAGCAGTTGTATGCTTTTGACACAGTTTGTTTTTGAATTAATAAATATTGTACGAGTCTGTTGTTGATGTATTCTTACATATTAAAATATTTTGTCTTTATATTATGTTTTAAACAGTTTGTTTGCTTTTTTTGAAAATTCATTCTATGAATAGTTTTAAAGTGATCGAGCAAGAGTTTATTCAAAAACAGGCAACTTTTAAGCAACCTCTTTATATTCTACAGGCAACTTTTCATGAAATTTTGAGTAACTTGTGGATAGCGCTTATATTAACAATGAACAATACATGGTCTTAATCTGAAAATACCCACCCTTTATTTGAAAAGCCCTAGCTTTATCTGAAAAACACTAGTCTTCATCTGGAAAACCTTGGTCTTTATATGAAAAACACTAACCATACTCCGAAACTCGGTCGTTACACACAAAATAAGAAAAATATTAGGTAATTAAATTTTTATTTCCCAAGTTGTAAGATTCCAGTTTTATTGATACGATTGTAATTCAGAAGAATGACTCTCATACATTTTCCAAGAGAAATCTTCTGATAGCTCTCCATGCATGCTCCTGTGCCGCAGAATGCTCAATTACATTCCCTCCCCATAAAACATAAACTTTATAATATGAATAGTAAGCAATGCGACACATTGGCATAAAAGGAACTTCGATTAAATGCCCGGTGCCTGGATAATGAAGAATAGTTGCAGACTCTCTGCCATGTTCATTTAGCCTCCTCTGCATTCTCCTTGCACAATCAGACATATTAGGACACATGTCATCATCTCCTGTGACCAGCATGATTTTCCCTTCGACTTTTTCAACTGGATTCTTGCTGTTTCGAAATTCAACAGGGTCCAGTTTGTCAATGTCTATAGAAACAACTTCATTCTTTTCATTTATATGGGCATGTTCCGGTTTGAATCCCCCATCTAAGCCCCTAACTTCCCCCTTGTATTTAAGTGTAATTGCCAAAATGTCAGCCGTAGAAATACCAACAACAGCCCTCACCAGGGAATACTCTGCGCCAATCTGCAAAGCAATCTGACCGCCAGCTGAAGAACCTATATATCCAATGCCAGATGAATAAACCCTTTCATGACTTGCAAACCATTTTAGAGCTTCGATGAAATACTCCAAATCAATGTTGTTTGGGCTTTTAGGCAGATCTTTGTATCCAAAATAGGCTAATGCAAACGTGACAAATCCATGAGATGCCAAAATGGCTGCCCTAGACTCAATTAGATCCCCATGAATCCCAAACAAGTCAATGACACCTGTTATGGGAAATGAAAGATTAAAATTTTTTATGGCCATGGCCAACGCTCAGGCCGATTTTTCGAAGCATTCTTCTAGTCACCGTTAGCAAAGGCTTTGGGAGGACATAAAAAGAATCCATAAAGCATTATATTCCATGTTATGGACTATCATTGTCCACAACTATAATCAGGGCCATTGCTAAAGGGGGATATGGTGGAGGGGGTGTGAAACTCCCTTGGAAGAACATTTTATTGTAAAAACAAAAACTTTTAGGCCATTTTGCTTCGTCTAGTCATCAAATTTTAAGATCTGGCGGCAAATAAAGGATAGCTCTATTACTTTATCGGTAAATGGGATGTGCACAAAAGCTAGCGACGGTCCAATCTATATTCCTTAGCATTACATCGCATATATTGGCCTGATGTCAAAAGTATAAATTGAAAACGTACCTGGTAATTTTCTGCTTCTTTTTGGAACAAACAACGTCCCCCTTATGCGGCCAACACTTATCTCCTTGCGTTCCACATGATCAGCCAGATATGTTCGTAAAATTTTCGTTTTTGCTAGAGGCTCAGGAAGCTTTTCCACGGCTTGCTTCGGGCTATCTGCATTCCCTTGAGACATAACGTGCCTGTCAAACAAGAAAACCCTAAATTCCATCGGTTTAGTGACATCTCCTGCAATAAACCTGGTTCCTTTTTGTTGGCCTGGTACTGCTAACATGCTCCAAAATAAACCCATGTTGTCAATGCCTTTGTAGGTACCTCCAAAAGAAGAATCTCGTGACAAATTCAGCTCACCATCTTTGTCTGCGATGTAGTGTCCGTAAGATTCAAAAAGCTCCGATTTGTCAGAATTGAGCTCAACACGCAAGGTTACACTTTGAAATGGGCTCAAATTTTTCACTTTCATCTGAATCCTTTGATCCACGAGCACTGGACATTTCGGTGCAATTATTGTCGGTAACATTCTTACTTTCAATTTATCAACCCTACGTAAAGAATTGCCCA